TTCGTTCGTTCGTTCGTTCGTTCGTTCGTTCGTTCGTTCGTTCGTTCGTTCGTTCGTTCGTTCGTTCGCCTTCTGATATTTTCTAGTCTCCGTAAAGTAAAATAAAAACAGTTGCGCATAATCGGGAAAGTTTATAGTTTATAGTATGATAGTTCTTTGATCTGTATTTCGCATACCTTTACAATTGTAACCATCGCCAGTGAATCCGGGTTTACAATCGCATGTGTAGGATCCAGGAGGGCTATTAAAACATGTGGCATTGGAACTACACCTTGTTATACCGAGAACACACTCATCAACATCTGACGAAACAACGGGTTTCAATGATTAGCAACAGACCTTATTCGTGGTGTGACAATGTTTCCCCAATTCAGCGTGACAAACCTCCAGAGGGTTAATTTTCACTCGTTTTTACTCTTCGGAAAATTCACGAGTATCCCAAAGGATACGAAAGAAATAACGATGATATCCCGACGAATTCCAAAACAATTCAACTCACCTTTATGGCGCTAGCCGTCACGGGGTATAAATTGTTTTAGATTGTGTTACGGTCATCAAAAAGTTCGGACATTGTTCTCGAATTGTACTGACTCTAAATGAACTATTTACTTGGTTAAGGTTTAGTTAGTTCTCTAAATACAAGTAAATGATCATTTTTCTAGCTTGGTTGAAGCTTTTCTAATTGCTGTTAAGAGAGCTAACTAAAGAAATCTACCTAAATTTTCTCTTTAAACTCAGTGAATTTGTATGGAAATCCGAGAACGATGTCCGAACTTTTTGGTGACCGTAACACAATCCAAGCTAGCAACGAAAAGGTGAATTGGGAAAACATTGTCACACCAAGAATGATGTCTATTGCCCACATGTCAATGTTGTCCTTGAGTATCAATTTTATTTAGATGTGAATCTTATTCTCATGGCAATGACACGAGACCTGAAAGTAAGAAAACAGTGATAAGCTGTTGCTTGTATTTTATCATTTCAAAGTTTACCATTGCAGTTGAAGCCATTTCCAGTGTACCCTGGTTTACATTTGCAGGTAAAAGATCCCTTGGTGTTGATGCAGTCTGCATTTGCATCACAATCAGCAACACCAGATGAACATTCATTGATATCTAAGAAAGACAAACGCATTTGGAATGCTTAGACGTAGTAGTGGTAGTAATAGAAGTGTTAGCATAAACTGAGAAGCAGAAAATCATTAAATAAATTACTGACGTCGACAAAAATGATAATCAGGAAAATTATGATGGTCTTAGAAGATGTCTGATGATGATGATGATATGATGTCTAATGATGATGATGTTGTTGATGATGTTGATGATGATGATGAACATGGTGATGATGATAGTGAAGATGGTAATGACAATAAATAAATAAATAAATAAATAAATAAATAAATGGGATTTAGCAGTGGTATTTCTACAGAATAGCTATTCATCCACTGTCATTCCAATTGGAATTTAGGAGTTGATTTTTGCGGAGGGAGGAAAGCCGGGGAACCCGGAAAACCCTCGAAGCACAGGAGAGAACCAATAAACAACTCTACTCACATAAGACACCGAGCAAAGCGGGACCCGAACCCAGGTCGCATTGGCGAGATGCGAGCGCTCTCACCGCTACGCCACCCGTGCTTCCCCAATGGAATATATGATGGCAAAGATAAAATGACGATAATGGTGTGATGTCGTTGTTTACGTCCATAAGATAAAGGACTTGAGAATGTCCTTGAGACAGTATTCCATTCAGGATGCAATACACGTATTCCACTCTTTTTCAATTTCTCAATGGTCACGTGCCATTTCCTTGTGTATTTTTTGTTTAACATGAAATATACTCAAATAAAGAATAATTTTCTCAAAGAAATGACACGTGGTCTGAAATGGGAAAACGTTACGTCGAACTGAAGTTGCCTCATTCGATTGGGTTTATCGGGAGGCATAAAAAGGCACATTTGACTATCTGTGTGCTCCCTCACCTGTACAGTTCAAACCATCACCAATAAATCCGCGGTTACATTTGCATTTAAAAGATCCAAAGACATTGGTACAAACAGCATTGAGATCGCATGGAGTCTTGTCACATTCGTTCAAATCTAAGGCAAAAATGAACAAATTGGTACACTGCAACTCCTTAACCAACAAACTTTCTCTGTACAGCCATCTTTACCACTCCTTTATTTGATTAAGAAAGTCGACTGACCTTTTTCTTGATTGGAAACGAATAGATCGTGCGCTTTACGGTAAACACTGATGTAAACATGCAAATGTGAAATTAGCTATCCTGTCATGCCACTAAGCCTTGCGAATTATTCGATAACTACGAAAATACATCAAAATGAGATCGAAACATTCAAATATTGAGCTCATTATAATATTCCATGCCATTAAGCCATGCGAATTAATCGATAACTACGAAAATACATAAAAATGAGATCGAAACATTCAAATGTGGAACTCATTATAATATTCCATGCCATTACATTATGCGAGTTAATCGATGAATACAAAGATCGACGAATACAAAGATACATCAAAAAGAGATAAAAGCCTCAGGGCCCGCTTGTACGAAGCCTGAATAGCGCTATCCAACAAAAAAACCTTATCCGGTGGACAAGTTTATTGGATAACAACATCGACTTCTCCACTGGATGAGGATTTATCCGCCGGATAGCGCTATTCAGGCTTAGCACGACCGGGACCAGGCAAAATCGAAACGTCCGGTGAGAAAGCTTTATAAACCTCGGTACATATCGGCACACTTTTCATGTGCGTAAAGCCGACTGTTAGCAAGATATTGGAGGGGATAAGATTATGGGATATAATAGCTTAATTATTTAATAATTATTATAATAAATACTTTATTTAACGAGGGTAGTACGAATTATGCTAATGAACCTATGGCCCTCGAAGAAAAACCTTTATCTAAAGAAATAGGGGCTGTGATATTTGATAAAGATTTACCCAGCAAACGTTACTTAGTCTGTTTACTCGGTTACCCTGGGTTACTTTGGGTGGCGAGGGTCCTCTAGATCCACTGCCCAAAGACCGGGGAACAGTCTCTTGCGTAAAAGAACAACCGAGAAGCACTGGACCGAGAAAACCACTGGAACCCAGGGCACCGCCCTGTCCATTAAAAATAATAATAAATTCCGGTTTGTTTGTTTGTTAAGATTGTATAAATGCACTCTGCTGCAGGGGAACTTATGGCTTGACCAAAGGTTTAGCAAGCTTACGTGCACAAGTTACAAAACGAAAAAACACTAGCGATTAGTATTATCCATGTATATTACTCCATACATTTTCATATTAATACTCGAATAATATCCTTATAATCTATGCAGAATGTACTTACCACGTTCGCATACATACGGCTGAGGTCTGGCGCACAGTTCAGTTTGCCATTCAAATAAAGTCCCCGAGAACATTTGTACGCAGTTTCTGTCATTATTGTCTATTCGCGGTTCGTTCAAACCCCAATTTGAATAACGTGATATCGATCCATCGCTCCATAAAAATGGTCTCTCCACTTCTGGTCTTCTAAGACCAATCCACACTAAAGGCTCAGGTAGTGCTAGTTCTTTAGATACAAATATATCCTCTCTTTCAGAGTGTATAGATACTAAGTATCCTCCTAATTCTCTACAGTTCTTTTCTGAATCTTGCCAGGTTTTACCATCTACGAATGTTACGTAACATGATCCTTCGAACTGTATCCATCCCTGAGGACAAAGTGCTGTTTCATGGAGAAAAAGTTAAAAAAGTTAAACAATTAACAGCCGTTCTTAGCGTCGTCACGCAAAGCTTAGTTCCTAGTTGGGGAGGGAATGTTGCGTGACGACACTAAGAAGAGCTGCGGGGAGACTAGTAAATTTAAAGCAAAATTTCACAACCCCATAACACTCGAGTTTGTGTGTGTTTGTAGGAGGGGGAAGCGGGGAAAGAAAATGGACTATTCAAAATTGATAATTTACGATTAATTTCGCCCGTTTTATTATACCTTTGCGTTGTCTTCTAAATCTCTCTGGTTTACCTTAACATGAACAAAAATAAATAAAAGGATTAATCGAACGAAAGAAATAATAAATAGAGGGACGGAGTGATAAAGGGAGGGAGGGAGGGAGGGAGGGAGGAACGGACGGACGGAGGGAGGGACGGAGGAGCTCAAATAGGGAGGATGGATAATGGATGAGTGATTGAACAACAACAGGAGATACTGATTCATATGTAATATTGTGCTATACCGATCCTTGCCCTTCCCTTCGATGAAAGAAATGAGGCGGGATTAAGCTTCAGCTTCGTTCAATAATGATAATGACGACGCGACCTGTCGGTCGCAAAAGCTGGTTTTAATGAAAACTGAGGCCGATCTCGTGAAAGCAAGAATCATTAATCAAGTTTATGGAATCAAACAAAAACATCGTCAACCTATTCTAATGCAATTTAAAATGCTTACGGTTCCCATCCTCACTAGAGCGTCAAATTGTCAAGGCTATTGATTTGGAGTAAAGCATTGAGAATAGAGATTGCATAAATACCAAAAGAGTAATATAGTCCTAACTAACACACATGGTTTTCATTAGAGATAATTATAGTATTTGTTAATGCTAGTTGTCATCGTTCCACAGTTCGTGTCACTCACCAATTATTAATTAAGTTTCGTGAAATCATTATTAAAAAAGTCTACGAAAAAGTAGCACATTTGAAGCAATCACATGGAAGAGCAAAAGATTTGGAGTTGATAGATTCATGATTCAAGATAATTGTTGAACGAGTTATGCATTTCTTGCAATTTTATTTTCGAAAATACTTCCTTGGACTGAAGTAGAGGAAAGTAATCCGCCCCTAAACATTTTTTTTATTTCATCTGCGTTCGCTTATATTAACTTGAATCATAAAACATAACACGCACCCACTTCCTGCCTTAATTGAATTTCGTGAAAGGTATTTTCCATTTGTACGTTCCTTACCCCACCACTATTCCAGAGAGGAGGAAAAGAGGGCGTCGTTCTACAATTATCTCCACTCCCCCACCCCCCCCCCCCCCATCTTTCTCCTTGCCATCTGATGGAAAGATGTCGCGTATACATTGACGAGGAGACCTCTATACACACTGCGATCGTTTATCATCAAGAGTAATCCTATCTTCAAAGTCGTGCCCTACACTTTCCATTACGTAAATAAGCATAGCCCATCCTCCTCTTCGCGCCATAAACTAAAGCACGCAAGAATAGGTATTTGAAACAAATATGGTCAGCTAGACTCATTCAACTTCAGTCCTCCTCTTTGCGGCATAAACTAAGGCACGCAAGAATAGGTATTTGAAACAAATATGGTCAGCTAGACTCATTCAATGTCAGTCTTCTAAGTGGGTGCCCGCATATACTTGGATACACCTTATCTTTACCAGATAAATATAAAAACGTGTCCAAGTACATTAGAAAAAATATTAGTTTAGTTAGTTAGTTAACAGTTTTGGTTAGCGTGACTCATTCAACGTCAGTCTTCTAAGTGGGTGTCCGCATATACTTGGATACACCTTATCTTTACCAGACAAATATAAAAACTTGTCCAAGTACACAACAAAAAATATTAGCAGCAGTTTTGGTTAGAGTGACTTATTCAACGTCAGCCTTCTAAGTGAGTGTCCTCTTAAGCTTTGATACACCTTATCTTTAACAATAGATTTTTAAAGAACTTGTACAAACAGGTCAGAAAAGATATTGCGAGTAGCTTTGGCATAGCGTGACTAATTGAACGTTGCGGTCTTCAAAAGGCGTGTCACCATCAATTACCATGCCTCTT